CGATGCGGAACAGACGACCACGGCTCCGTATGGCCTCGTCTCCTACAGGCGACGGCACGCTCGGATCCCGCGTGGGCAGCAGCCGCGCTTGCAGCAGCAGTCGATTTGGGCGCGCGCGGGATTTTTCCGCGCCAAATCCATCTCCACCTTCGTATATCCCTGGATCCGCGGCGTCTTCGGCTTCTTCGACGCCGCGGGGCGGGGCCACCTCGACCACGCGCAGATCGTGGCCGGCCTCGTCGCGCTGCGCGTCCCCGAGGGGACGACCGGCGGCGCGGGCGCCGAGGACTACGCGCGCGCGCTGCTCCGGGCCTACGACCGCGACCGCGACGGCCGCGTCGGCTATGACGACTTCCGGAGGTACATGGACGACAAGGAGCTCGAGCTCTACCGCATCTTCCAGGCCATCGACGTCGAGCACAACGGATGTATCCTGCCCGAGGAGCTCTGGCACGCGCTCGTCAAGGCTGGTAACTGCAATGCCACTGCTCCTCGCCTTATTCCTTCCTCTCTTTTTTTGCAAGTACCGTATTCCTTCCTTTTAGTGATTCCTCTATTCCACTCCACCATAGCTGCAATACTCGAATGAGGTTTGAGTGAGAGAGTGTGAGACTGTGGATAAAATAGTGTTTTCCTGAGCTACAAATTTAAGTGTTCCTTGAGATGTCATGAGAAATGTATTCCCTAGCTTAATACTGCCATAAGCTTAGTTCAGTGCTGCACTGTTCTTTGTTGCTTGTAGTGGTGGAAGCTAGGATGTCCACTCTTGAAAAGTTGAATAATAGTCCAGTACATGTTTGTGCTGCAGTATCCCTAACTAATCTAGGTACCAAAGTTCAAATTTGGCAATTGGTGTAAAAAAATGCAATGCTCGATATATTGATGGAGAAATCAAGTAAGGCAGTGCTTTGCTTTTGGTCAATAAAGTCACTCAAGTTTTGTGATGGTTCTAGACTTCTAGTGATGATGCCATGGGGACATGGGCTCCTTAAAATAGTTAACTAAGATAAAGGCCCTTCCATAATTTGGGTATCCTTTTTTCAAATTTGGTGATCGGGATGCAACACAAAGTATTGATGGAGACATACTTTTGCGGGATAGATTCTTTTTTGTGGTGATCAAACTTGAAGTGGAATTTTGTGGTTTGATTTTGAACACGATAATCATTAGTTCTTGTAAATACAACAACATAGTTTCGCTTATTGGATCATAAACTCCATTTTAGCGTTGCAATGAGCTTCACCATTTCATAATTTTAATCGGTTTGATATCTTAATTTATGTTTAATCATGTATGTCGAAATATCGGATGAAAGTGGCTAAACCGATCATGTGTTTGTTGTGTGTGTGAGTATGTTTGTTGTTGGCATATGTAAGCGGAACTAAGTCACCATTCTGAAAATAGCAAGTAGTTCCTTGTATGTGAAGTCTGTTTTAGCTTTGAATAAAACAGTGGGCTGTATTTGTCAACACTGGTAAAAAAAATTATTCAGCTTGTATTCTTTGATTTACAGTAATTTCAGTCACTATTTATGTTTGCTCATACTACATCGACCATTACAAAACGTCAGAGCACATCGCTATCTCTGAATCGCCGACTTCGACCTTTGCTATCTGAACTGCTATCTGAATGTTATCTGAACTGCTATTTTCTGAATTCTGATTGTGAACTGATGTCTGAAACTGCTATCTGAATGCTATCTGAACAGAGCTAATGCTCTTGACTTCATCTCGCAATTTTGATTTAAAAATTATCTCTCAATTTTGTGGGACATGGTGTGATCTACGTGATGTTATGATCTACAATTTTTCTGTGCAGAGGATGAGTTGTGACCTACCTGATGGTGTGATCTATCTGTTATCTACTAGTTATTATCTGAATGTCATCTACCAGTGACTGCTATCTGAATGCTATCTTTTTTGTGTGACCATGTTACTGCTATCTGAATTTCCCAGTTAAATGTCTCTCATGCGTAACTGAGGCATTAGTGAGTGTAATCATGTTGCTCTTATTTATCCTTTATATATTTTCTATCAAATAACCATACAATGGTATACAAAATTTATTTATAGTTGATCCTAGCTACATGCAAAGCATTAAACAGCTTAGAGACGGACCCTCTGTCTGTGGGTTATATGACTTGTCTTTATACCCGTCTATATGATAGATTCGAGGTGCTTAGAGACGGACCATGTCTGTGAGTTGTACATGCCCTGGCTCTCGCTAGTGGGCAGAATCAATTTTACACTGCACAGCGTCGTATCAGATCCCACGGTGATTCGATTAAAAACCAACCAACCGTAATTTACGGAAACCTATAGCGGCGTGAAACATTCATGGGGACCAAATGACCCAACCAAACAGCACCTAGTTTCAACCGCCTGCCATTAAACAAGTTGTCCC